CTGTCCGTCCGTTTTTAGCGCGTGAAAATAAATGAGGCACCGTGTAACTAATAAGTACGGCACTTAAGCGTCCCGTCGTAACAGTTGGGGGCACAAAATCTTATACCGCATAACAACGACGTACGTCACGGATATCTCTTCCTGTGACGGCACTGGTCTGGTGGTGCGTCGTGTGTCTCTAAAAACACGAGATCTGGATGACTCGCAAGCTAGGGGGTCATAAAGGTCAAGAGGTGTAAAAAGAAGCGGAAACATTCCCTGCCTGTAAATGCTTAAGGTATATATGGGAGGAAACTGGCAGACTTGCGGGCAGCACAAACTAAATGGCTCGACCTTAGGCTGTGTGATGAGCGGGTATCGCATACATGGTAGGAAAGCATCACTTTGTACCAAAAATGTGAAGGATCACAGGTCAAAAGTGGTGCGAGATTGAGGAGCAAACAGGGCATAGATTTTGAGCATTTTTCCTGAGGACATCGGGTGGTCTGGATAGGAAGGCGATTGTAAACAAACTTTTTTTTGTTTTCAGGCGGTGCCCTAGCAATTTTTATGCTTTATTGAAAGATCGTTAATGTACTTTTCGCTGAACAATGCGAAGAGTAAGTGTCGGATAAACCTTTTTACCTCAGAGGAGAGTTAATACATTGATTTGTTCTTCAAATGCATTGGCGAGTACCTGTGGGTTGTTGAAAGCTCACCTCGATATTTACAGTGAAATTCCATACCACTCCAGAGAGCTTACTTGAAATCAATGCTTTATCTGTAGAATATGAGATGACTAATATATGAGATTCTGTAGTGTTCAACCACTATATGAATAGTTGAATACAGCGAGAATAGGAGCATACAATTAATACCTTCCCATTTATGGAGATAGTACTCAGCTGGATTTCCGCGGCAGACTTCATTTCCTCTCCATCAAATTTTGGCACACCAATTATAGACCAGAGTGTGTGTCAACGTTCTAGTGAGACTTATATATTCGTCCACTAAATCACTCGGCCTACCTTGTAACTTCAGAAACGGAGAATTAGTATTAGAGGATATATCTACGTTTGCTAGTAAATTGTAATCTTGCATGAGCTGCTGCTGGTTGTATCAACGCATTGTATGCGAGCTAGTTTGTCAAACGGAGCGACCAGATTTCTCGCAATGTGTGTTTAATTATCCTTATCACCAGTGGTACAACCCTAAGATACGCAACGTTATGATATTAACAACAAATATGGTAATTATTACGCTCCTTGATTTTTGTGGCAAGCTCTGTCGTTCGACACTGTGGTGCAAAAGCTGACAGCTTGCCATTGCCTGCCAATGCTTTGGCTGACCTGTATTGCGAAATCGTAACGAATGCCTTTTGATAGCGCTGGGTGACCGCCATCTATCGACATTTTATTACACTAGTTTGAAATGTTGTTTTTGGTTAGAAATGAACGTATGTATAGGACGTCTGCTATGCACAAATGATATTATCAGGCAAACACCCAGCCCACCGAGATGAGCCCTGTCACTTTACAGCGGTCACTTGTTAGTTCAGATACACACTTCTTTATTTTTTATATTTTTATAATTTACCTTTTGGATGCAACAGGGGGTTGCGCATTTGCCCCCTAATTTTGGCCACACCTCCCCACTAACCCCGCCTTACACTACGCCCACTGTGGCCTCCATGGTCGACACATTCCCATAAACTCACGTTGCATGAGTATTTGTCCTTAAAAAGTAAGGGTGGCCTTGAGCAACCCAAATTCTTTCTAGGGATGGCAATCGAGCTTTAACGGCGCTATACTCACAGTTGCTACAGTAGAAATCAGTAAAACTGAGAAGATCGGCATGCATGGGTGTCTGTGTGAAGGCAGTACGAGATGTACACAATATGTTTATGAACATTCGGCTTCAAAGGCTGGAAGTTAAATATTTGTGGATTCCCATAGAATCCTGCGACAGATGCAAAAATTTCCAGTTGTTCTGTTTTCGAACAATCCTATAGCGGCAAGTCGATGCTGTGTTTTCTAGCGCGCTTGATGTATACGTCTTTGAACTATCTTGAGTTCAGCCGACAAAATTAGCCTGCTTGCAACACGCACTAGGTTGAGACGCCAATTAGCCAACGCGAGTCTTAAAGCACTGTCATGGGTTTTTTGAAAAATGTCGTAGGAAGAACACTGTGTGTGTGTATAATCTGTGAATACTAACAAGTGTGGCAGTAAATATGCTGAAATTCGTCAGTCAAATTGCTTTTAGCGCTGCATCTCCGGAGACCCAAAGAGAGCTTGTATACCTGCGCATCTTCTCGATGTTAGAAATTATTATCAGCCCATCACAAATTTGTTTGAATCAATGTCATATTTTCACGCTTCTATCATCCTAGATTTCGATAATATTCGCTAAATATTTGATAAGCTCATGATGTTGTACATCCTTAGGTAGCTATAGGAGATGTATATTATGCTTAAACAAATGTCAGGTATTCGCGACACTCGCTACACGGCTGAAACCACCGGCCATCGGAGGCGCGGTTTTGCCTCTTTTGTACCGCCGCTACCCAAATAATTTGCCCGGCATATGCCGGTGGGGACCTGCTAATTTCACGTCCTGATAATATAATATATATATAATGTATTATCAGAGCCTATAATGAAAGCTAGAGTGTCCAATCGGAAGTATTAACGGACAAATAGTGTTATTTACACCCGACATGATAATTCTCACTTTGCCCTCGCAGGTCTCACGAACCATAATTTTTATGGTATTGCATTAAGCAATTCTATTGTTCTCTAAAAACAGACCAACCGCTTGTCATTACGATACTCCTAGGCCTGAGATATTGGCTCCTAAATCCTCCTCCCCACATGCCTCACAACACGGGACTCGAGAGGGATCACTTATTCAGCCCGACCTAAACGTAGGTTGCTTCGATGAGTTCGGATCTTTCCGCTAACTTGTCATGATGATTGGCGTTCGGTTACATAGGTGACTTTCGGGGCATCGCCTTTGTTATCTCCCATTGATCTTTCTACAGCGGCTAAGTGCCCGTCAGTGATGGAGCCCGGAACCCCGGCAATGTTTTCTAAATTAAGTCTCTACAACACAGCTCAGTTACTATATGGTGTAGTAAGAGTACCAAATTTGGGCATGTGACATCAATTATCAGTGCTCCAAGCGGTGACGGAAATCGATAGCCAAAATGCTTAGGGGCGTTTAGGTTGCTGAATAAGCTGGATGCGAGGCGGCATGAGGCATGTGGGAGGGGAGGTTTAGGAGCCAATACCTCAGCCTAGGAGTATCGTATTGACAAGCGGTTGGTCTTGTTTTAGAGAGCAAAGAATTCTGCTTAATGCAATACCATAAAATTATTCTAGACTCGCAGTCAAAGTGGAATAATGTTGTTGTGAAATAGCACTATTTTCCCGTTTTTCCGTACACTCTAAGTATTATTAGCTCTTGATTATATATGTGTGTGTATGTGTGTCTTGGCTCTTTGCTACAGCTCATCGGTGAGAAGGTGGAGCATGCGCTTGCTGAGGGGCTGTCTGTTATCGCCTGCATCGGTGAGAAGCTGGATGAACGCCAAGCTAACAAGACCGAAGAAGTTGTCTACCACCAGATGAAAGTCATCGCTGGTAAGCTCATTCATCATTCTTCACTACATATATGTTCTAGGCATCTCAGATTGTGTGTGTGTGTGCGTGTGTGCGTGCGTGCGTGCGTGCGTGCGTGCGTGCGTGCGTGCGTGCGTGCGTGCGTGCGTGCGTCAGTATCGCACAGTTTTGTGGTCACCAGGATAAAACTACAGATTTCATAAGAAAATTATTTACTGGTTCCATTGGGTAAGTGTTCTGTATATTATGATGTGTCAATATATCATGTGTTTTTATCACATTTAGCTAAGGTGAAGGACTGGTCAAAAGTAGTGATTGCCTACGAACCTGTATGGGCCATCGGCACTGGAGTCTCGGCCACCCCTGACCAGGTGCGTTGTCTGTTCATTTTGAACTATCAATAATCTACAGTTGGTGCAGATGTTGCAATTTCGCTTGCCTAATCGTTCCACATAGCTTCATTTCTGTGATAGCATATATCGTTGCACTGTTGCTTATTTGTATGTAGCATATGTAGCAAATATGGGGTACAGTTGGCTAAGACAGCTATAGTAGCTGGCAAGGATCGTCAAGGCAACATCAGATAATGTACGTGTCTTAACAAAAAGAAGTTTTTCATGTCAGTAATACTTTCTAAGGCTTCTTTCAAACTCTACCTTATTAGGTAGTTGCCATTGTGAAAAGCAACAAATTTATATAAGGCAACCTTTATTAAATATCTTGTGCGCAGTAATAATGTGATGATGCTTTTTAATAAGGGTCGCTTCAAATTTCAGTTTCCATCACATTGATATTTGTAAATAGTTGTGGCAAACAGGAATCCATATATATCGATGGTTCTGATATGGAAGCTGTTTGTCTGAAGCAGCATTGTGTTGTGTTTTAGGCCCAGGAGGTACATAACCAGCTGCGAAAGTGGCTTGCCAAGAATGTCAGCAATGATGTCTCAGCGAAGACGAGAATTATTTATGGAGGTACATAGAAGCTAGCATCTTCTCAATGCAAAATATATTCATGTTACTTGTTTCAAAACATGCAGGCTCATTCTGTAGTGCTGTGTGATATTTACTTGAAAATGTTATATGGTAATTAAATGGTTTCGCTCTATCTTTCTGTTAGCTCAGTAGCTATAACCATGCATGTAGGTGTGGACTTACTACAAAAATTTGCCCTGCATTGATAACAACAGCAGCTGTTAATATGCTTCTAATGCAGGCGAAGGTATGAAAATAGGCGAAGCATATGTATTGGAGGCTTGACCTTTCGTATGCTAACACCACCAAGTTTGGGAGCAGCTCTGCTCGTGTTCAGTTGCTATACCCTTGACTTTTAAACAGCTAGTGCTTATATTGTGTTGCAGGATTCCATAAGTTTTACACACATGCTCTTTTCTCTGTGTTTTTGCCTACATCAAGTTGCATATGTTTATGCACCCAAAAACTTCTTCTTCAGTATGATTATAGCTTAAAGCCGCAATATGCGCATCCAAACACCAATTTCTCCAGTACTAGACTAGCAAATACTTCGTGTCATGCATAATCATACTACCTTATGACAAAAGAAACTAGTTCCTCCCATTTCACTGTGCATTGTCTTATAAAAGGTATTTGAAAATACCTCCAATGTTGTTCAAATTCTTCGATGTTGTTGACATGTTCGCGTTGCTCTGCCAAGCAACCGTACAGCGGGTGCAACCCGTAGCAACATGTGACGTCACCTAACTGATTCGGTGCTAAATTGTTTGGCAAACAATTTGGCGTTGGCGCCAGATTGCAAGATTTCGCACCTCTTTCTTGTGGGTTTTAAGCAAACGCGCAGTGAAATGGGAGGAACTTGAGTTTATTTTGTCATAAGGTAG